CTCCCCAGCTTCGGCTCCCAGAAATCACCCCATAATTTATTCCATGATTACTTCCAGATTTTATGCATTACTGATAAAGAAAACGTTTAGACTGCTGTTAAAAACATTTTAACRTTATCGAGTGACTTAGTACTCTAGAAAATGAATACTTTATTATTTTTCTGACTTCCTTTTTCCTCTCAATGTCTTCCTCTATTGTAGTTATGTCACAGTTTTAGTTAAGTTAGCATTGAGTATGATTATAAGTATTGCATCAGGTTAGCAGGATCTCAATACCTAAGGCCAGAAAAAACAACAGGCCAATATTTTTAATGAACATAGATGCAAAAGTCCTCCACAAAATACTAGTAATCCAAATTCAAAAGGATCACTCAACATGATCAAGTGGATGAAAGAATGGTATTTGCAGATTAATATAAATGTGATAGAATGCACTAACCGAACGAAAGACAAATCATATGATCCTTTCATCAGATGCAGAAAAAGCATTTACCAAAGTCAACATTCTTTTATGATTAAGACACTCAGCAAATTAGGCGTGGAATGAATGGATTTCAATACAATACACTGAATATAATATATAATTGGATACAATATATTCAATACAATATATAATAAGTCAAGAGTTAATACGCTTAATGGAGAAAAAGTGGAATCCTTTCCTCTATGATTCAGAAGACAAAAATACTCACTCCTGACACTTCTATTCAACATAGTATTGGAAGTCATTGGAAGGCAATAAGACAAGACAGAGAAATAAAAGGAATGCAAATAAAAAAGGAAGAAATGAAATTATTGCTGTTTGCTGCTAGCATGATCTTATATATAGAAATCCTAAAGTTTCCACTGAAAAAAACCCTGTTAGAATCCAAAAACAAATTTAGTCAATTTAAAAGATTACAAAATCCAGTCAGAATTCAGTAGCATCTCTCCACATCAAGAATGAGCTTTCTCAAGAGAAAAATCAAGGCAATAATCCCATTTACAATGACTACAACAAAACAAAATCCTAGAAATAAATTTAACCAAGGTGAAAAAATCAAAAAGGACTGGAAGAATTCATATTTTTAAAAAGCTACCCAATGTGATCTGTAGATTCAATGCAACCCTTTCTGATATTCCAATGTAATTTTCTTTTTTTAAAATATTTTTTTTAGTTGTAGATGAACACATTATCTTCACTTTTATTTATTTATTTTTATGTGGTGCTGGGGATTGAACTCAGGGCCTCATGCATGCGAGGCAAGCGCTCTGCCACTGAGCCACAACCCCAGCCCCTCCAATGTAATTTTCGTAGACATAAGAAAAGGAACCCTACAATTCATATGGACTCTCTCACTCTCTCTCTCTCTCTCTCACACACACACACACACACACACACACACCCCAAATAGCAAAGACAATATAAGCAAAAAGAACAAATCTGGACACATCACAATATGTGATTTTTTTTCTCTAATGCTAGGGATTGAATTCAGGGCTTTGTGCATACTAGGCAAGCACCCCACCACTGAACTAGATCCCTAGGTCTTTTTATGTTATTTTGAGACAGAGTCTCACTAAATTGCCCAGGCTTGCCTGGAACTTGTAGTCCTCCTGCCTCAGTCTCCCCAGTAGCTAAGATTATAGTTGTGCCTCTCTGTACCCAGTTCACAATATCTGATTTTAAAGAATACTACAAAGTTATAGTCATTAAAACACCATAGATCTGGCATAAAAATAGATCTCCTGATGCATGGAACAGAATAGAGCCTGAAAGTGAACCTACATATGTACAGTCAATTAAATTTAAACAAAAAGTCAAGGAAATACAATGGGAAAATACAGTCTGTTTAATAAGTAGCATGGAAAAAACTGGATATCTCTAGGCAGAAGAATGAAATTAGACCCCTATATCATACCACATTAAAAAAAGTCAACTCAAATGGATTCAAACCTTTAAAATAAGACCCGAGACTATAAATTTCCTACAAGAAAACATAGGAGAGAAATGTACATTATACTGTTCTGGGCAATGATTTTTTTTTCAGATTGGACTCCAGAAGCATAGAAAGCAAAAGGACAAGTGGACCAATTGGATTACACTGTAATAAACTTCTGAATAAAAAAAGAAACAACAAAATAAGGAGACAGCCAGTAATTGAAAGAAGATATTTGCAATCCAACTGAGGAATATTAAGTCCAAAACATGTGAGGAACTCCAGAGAAAGAAAATAGTCCAATTAACAAATGGACAGGGTCTTGAGGGGGTGGTACAATGGTTAGAGCACTTGGTTCATCCCCCAGAATCTCCAAACCAAAACAAAAGACAGAGGGGAAAAGACATGGGCAAAGGACGTGAATAGACGTTTCTCAAAAAGACAAACATGAGTGGCTAAGAGGTACAAGGGGAAAACAAACAAACACCCCACCCAGCAAAAAAGAAAAGCTCAATGTCACTAATCATCAGGCAGATTGAGATTAAAGCCACAGTGAGGTATCATCCATACCTATTAGAATGGCTATTACAGAAAAGATGAGAAACAACTGCTGGTGAGAGTTATGGGCTAAATGGGCAATGACCAAACAGACTCCATTTTACCCTGGGATTCCATACCCTGTAAGAAGTGCTTCTCCCATGGGAAAGCCCCACCTCTGTGCCCATTAATAGTCACCTAGCATAACATACTTGGCAACACAAAATGGCAATTCTTATACAATGTAAAATTGTTCTCTTTGGTTTCCCTTTTTCTTGGGCAATGCACCTTGTCAGAGATTGATTGTTTAGACCTTAGTAACCATTCTCTAACGTGTACTGAACTAGGGTCATTTTGACCCTCTTCCCTTCTTCTTGCTTGCTGCTATGCCAACCTGGAAAGTCCCCTGAGAAATACCAAGGCACCCATTGCATTATCTCGCTAATTGCTCAATTCAGCTTCTGTACCTGCTTGCTTGCAGCTACGTCAACCTAGATGTGGTTTTTTTGCCTTTAAATATTTTAAAATGCTCAGGCTCTGGGCTGTTCCTTGCCRAGACAGTTATGGGTGCTGCGAGGAGCAGTCACCTACCAGCTGGCTAAATAAAGACTCTTCCATTTGGACAAAACTGGGACTTGGTGTGTTTTCTCAGTGACCTGCTCCACAACAGTGAGGAGATGGAGAACAGGGAGCCCTTGCATACTGTCAGTGGGAATGTAAACCAAAACAGACATCATGGAAAATAGAATTGCCAGATGATCCAGTAATGCTACTTCTGGGTTTTTACTCCAGGACTTCAAACCAGTCTGCAAAGAGGTATATGTACTCCTGGGTTGGTGGCAGCACTTGTTACACTAGATGAGATATGGAATCAACCTCAGGACCCAAGGGTCTATCACTGGATGAATGCTTATAGAAAATGTGATGTGTCAAACTCTCAGACAGGGGGAATGCATCTGAGTTTTTTGAGGTCTACTGCACATTGCGGTGAATATATTTAATAATTAAGTACCATGCATTTTGATACCACTAAGGGAATAAATTTCAAATCCTCTCATAAAAAGTGTTAAGTATTTGAGGTGATGGATATGCTAACTAGCTTGATCCCATCATCCCACATTGAATTAAAAAATCATAACATCACTTCATACCCCATAAATATGGGCAATTATAATTTGTCAATATATAATAAAGACAAATAATAATTAAAAAGATTACTCAGACTGCTCTAATGGGCAAAGACAGCACTGGAGCAAGGGTGGACACAGACTTATGKAGAAGTTGTTAACAGCCCAAGGAAGAGATGATTGATGGTGGCTAGGGCCAAGTGGCAGCAGTAGAGATGATATAAAGCATTCAAATTCTGGATATACTTTGAAATTGATCAAATTTGTTAATAGATTGTACAGGAGTGTGAGATAAAGAGCACATTAATTCTTCTTTCTTTTCTGTGTCATAGGGATCAAGAACTTCAGAGACTTGCTGGGCATGGTGCCATATGCCTTAATACTAACAGCTTGGGAGGCTGAGGGAGGAGGATTGCAAGTTTGAGGCCAGCCTCAGCAACTTAGCAAGGCCCTAAACAATTTTATGAGGTCCTATCTCAAAATACAAAGTAAAAAGGGCTGGAGAGGATGGAGGGAAAAAGGTACTACACTCATATATTGCTGGTGGGACTGCCAATTGGTGCAACCACTATGGAAAGTGGCATGGAGATTCCTCAGAAAACTTGG